GATTTGATTTGATTTGATAGGATTGCAAATACCCTAATATAATGGTAATAAGCAGTTCCCACACTCCAGACAGCATGCCTCGACTACTTCCTTCATCACTTCCTTCGTCGCGGACCCGTTTTGCTCCCTTCCCATAGCATTTTATGATTGCAGATACCTTAATCTATTCGTCATAAACAGTTCCAACACTCCGGACTGCTCGCCTTACTACTTCCTTTGCCACTTCCTACGCCACGGACCTGTTTCTCTCCCTATCCCCCATAGCATTTTAAGATTGCAGATACCTTAATATAATGGTCATAAGCAGATCCCACACTCCGGGCAGCTTGCCTTGACTACTTCCTTCATCACTTCCTACGTCGCGAACCCGTTTTCCTCCCATAACTTATAATTTTTGGAATGCATATACCTAAATCTAATCGTCTTAAACAGTTTCCACACTCCAGACTGTTCACCTTTAGTACTTCCTTTAACACTTCCTACGTCACGGACCTCAAGCTAGTGTCGTCATTTGATTATTTTATGATCCATACCACCGTTTATGTTCTTATATCTGTGGGAATAATGCTATCAGCTATTTATTTATTTACTGCATTCAAAAGTCAACAGCTGATCATATGTCTTTGTTTATGTGTCAAATACTGCTTCCATAAGGATTACATTGAAACTTTGAGACCCAGTGGGGCGGATTCCTGAGAGTTATTTTTAACGCCATATAGATGTTGGCACTCACCGATATGGTCTTTATCACCATCCAAAATTTGAAAACGTTTGATTCAGCCGTCTAGGAGGAGTTTGCGTATTACGAAATGCATAAAAGTCGACGTATAAGAGCTTCGCTCGCTCCGCTCAATTAAAAAAGCCCAAATTTAGCCCAAATTTTATCAAATACAGAGACTATCGAAATCTCAACCTCACTGCTCTGCTTTTAGACGCTTCTACCTTACCGTGGGATGTGGTTACTAATGATCCTGATGTCAATTCAATGGTTGAACATTTTACTTCCCTCATTTCTAATCTTCATAATAAACACTGTCCAATTGTATCTAAAAGAGTTTCGAAGCCACCTGCTCCTTGGATAAATGATTTTATTAGACAACTTCAAAAAAATAGAGATGCTGCATTTCGTAAAGCCAAGAGCACCAAGCTACCTAATGACTGGGCCTGTTTTTTTTTTGTTTTTTTTAAAGAGGTTGGCGGCCTCTTTTAACCTTGCATTTGCCCGTCCACATAGACTACAGATCTGTGCGTGTAACGTATCCAGCAAAGCAAGGGGTGAGCCGGTACAGTACAAAGGTGAACTGTACTGATAAAAGTTTGTGGCAGTGACCAGGATCCGAACCCACGACACTTCTGCCTTGGGCCCAAAGTCCGTGACGCTACCAACTGAGCCACCGACTCACCAAAAGGCTCGCGTTACAAAAGGCTCAGGAATCAAACCCAACAACAGATCAGAAACTCAAAAGCTAGGTATTATTATACTTCTTTCTCCCAGAAACAATCCTCCAAAACTTTGTGGACCAAAGTTAAGAACCTTGGTATCGGCAAATCTGACAATTTACATCAAATAACTATTAGTCTCGACACGATTAACAACTTCTTTGTGAATATCCCTATAAGTTCTGCAGGTGCATTTAACTATGTTGCCGATATCACATCTAGACCACTTGATATGCCTGAAACCCAGTTTTTCTTTTCCCCAGTTAGTGAATCTGAAGTCCGCAGGGCAATTCTGGGGATGACAAGTAACGCAGTCGGCGCTGATGATATTCCTATCAGGTTTATTAGAGACACTCTTCCAGTTACTCTACCGGTACTAACTTCCATATTTAACAGATCATTAGCAACTTCTACCTTCCCCTCCATCTGGAAATCTGTCATTGTTCGCCCACTTCAGAAAATTTCTTCTCCCAATACCCCTTCTGACTATAGACCAATCAGCATTCTTCCTGCCCTTTCTAAATGCCTTGAAAGAATAGTGCATAATAAATTCTCTGTTTTTTTGGAAGAGAACAAAATTATATCGGATTTTCAATCTGGGTTTCGCGCTAAATATAGCACAACCACTGCTTTGTTGAAAATTACAGATGACATCTGCCGTGCAATGGATAATAGACATGCCACAATTTTAACCCTCTTTGACTTTTCAAAGGCGTTTGACTGCGTATACCATCCTCTTTTGCTCCTTAAACTGCGCTTGGCTGGTTTCTCTGACAACTGTGTTGACTGGATTGAGTCCTATTTATCTGATCGTCAGCAGTGTGTCAAAGTCGGTGACAAATGTTCTACCTGGGAGCAGATTACTAGAGGTGTTCCTCAAGGATCTGTTCTTGGCCTACTACTGTTCTCAATTTACATCAATGACATCACAGAACATATCACTAACTCACACTACCATTTGTATGCTGACGACCTACAGATTTACTCCCACTTCAATGTAGACGAGATGGATATTGCTGTACGACTCATGAACATTGACATTGAATGGATTACTCACTGGGCTATAAACAACGGACTTAAACTCAACATTGACAAAACACAAGCAATGATTGTTGGCTACCCCAGACTAATGACTAAAATCAACTTACTCACTGCACCACGACTTAACTTTGACGGAAAGGATCTCACCTACTGCGACAAAGTGAAAAACTTAGGACTCATCATGAACAAACATTTGAATTGGTCTGACCAAGCCAACTCCACTTGTAACAGGGTCTTTGGAGTTATTCACACCATCAAACGTTTTGCAGACTACCTTCCACTGAACTTGAAAATCATGTTAGTAAAAACTCTCATCTTGACTCATTTCAACTACTGTGATGTGGTGCTCAATGACATGACTAATGAAGTTTCTAGTAGACTTCAGCGAGCGCAGAATTCCTGTATCAGATTCATGTTTGGCCTAAGGCGATATGACCATGTAACTCCCTATTTTAACCTGCTTTCATTGATGAAGTTAAATGAACTTCGGGAATTTCACACCCTCCGTCTTCTACACTCCATTATCAATAGTAAAATTCCCAATTATTTATCAGACAACTTCCATTTTATTTCTGACATCAGCACCCGTGCCACTCGTAGAGGCTCTCACCTTTTATCTACACCAATTCACCGGTCAACAGTTTTTAACAAATCCTTCTTGGTATCTGCGATTCGATTGTGGAATTCTCTTCCTGACCATATCAAATATATAGGTAACCGTGCGAGGTTCGGGGCAGAGATTAAATCTATTATATTGAGCAGCAGGCTTGAGTGAGTCTCTGGCGCTGGTGTGAGGGGTTGTTGGCGGCATGTGTGAATGGTATTTTTGTAGGATTACTTAACTTATTTTTTCATGTTTACTAATTTAATGATTACTTTAGATTATTTAAATTTACTTATATGAGTGAATAAGTTTTTATTTATTTATGTATAGAGGTTAAGTGGTAGAGAGTACTTGCAAGTCCTAACTTCGCCTCTTAAATAAAGACATTTTTCATTTCATTTTTTTTCATTTCATTACATCTTGCCAATCACCCAATTGAACGCGGTTTGAAATAGTAGACGGTGAAAGCAACTTAGCTCCTTTCTCAGCAATAAATAAAACGCTTCTTTGTGTACTCATTGTACAGTTCCCTGATCATAAGTTGTATAATTATCACATAGCAATTTTAATGTTCATGTATTTAGTCAGGCTGACAATGTTTTATTAAATTGACAATTTTAAAATGAAATACCCCTGCGGCAGCAAACCTGCTGACTAAGCGAATTTCTAATTGTCTGAATTGATTTTCAATTAAATTAGGTTTAACGAGTACCTAGGTTTGCTGCTACAAGGAAACTAATGAAATGGGCTTTTTAGTAAAATATTAATAGCAAAACAAGCAAACCACAACCATTTACAATATTCTCCAGAAGAATAACATGGGAATTTTAAATTTTACAAAAACACTTTGATGTACAACTTAATTTTTTTTTTTGAGCTCTTTAAAAAGGTCTAGAGAGAAATTGGGAAATGTTGTGTTTGGAGGGTTAATAATGAGATAAACCAGTTTTTACCCCATAAAGCTCCGTTCCCATGGTCCAATCTTGCTGGTTCGCAAACTCATTCAAGTTTATCCCGCCTTACACCTTTAAACCAAATTTCATCAAAATCAGACAAAATTACTCAAGTTATCGCGTTCACAGACATGTTTACATATATATAAAAATTTGAACGAATGGTGTTTTTGGCCATCAAAATGAAAAAGCAAATCGGTCCCGGGCCTAGGTCTTACCATGAGACCTACGGTAATAGCTACTTCCTTATAGAGAAATTTGCTAAAAAGACTGATTTCATTAAGATTTTAATTTATATTTGTTAATTGTGTGGATAAATAATCAAATAATAACAGCAATATGATAAATTACAAGGTAGGAACAAACAAATGTTATCCTTGGATGTTTTTAGATAGGTAGGTCTGACGTAGGTTTACATTTACTGGAAAAGGCCTGTCAAGAGGCAGAGATTGGTTAGAGAGGCACTCCAAAAATAATCGTTATTTTAGGTGAGTTCTAACGATGAGCCCATCGTGGGCGGCTCAGGTGTAGTGTTTGGCGGAATGAGTGGATTTTTTGCAAGTTTCGCCTCATTTTGCTGTTTTTCTTATTCCTACTGTGTTTGTTTCCACTGAACATTTGTTTAAAAAAATCACTGAATCCCATGGAGTTCAAAGGGGGAAGTACCAGATTTCCTTTGTTCACTTTAAGAGATCATTGCAGAATTAATCATTATCAAGGTAGTTAAAGTTTGGATTCCTGATCTTTAGGCAACATGTCAATTGATGTTTTGGCCTCAATGTGTAGTGCAATCTTCTGAGCAACTTGACTCATGTTTGTAATATCTATACACTATATATTTTTGGGGAAATTTTTAGAACTGTAAAACCACAATCAGTCTTGCCACAGCGAAACATGATTGCAAATATTTAACAGAAAACTCAGGATGGCGAATTGAGAATAAAACAACTTCTATGTACAAACTTTATTTACTTTTAGTGTGTCAAGGAACAACACAATGTAAAACAACTAAAAACTTCGTAGTTCTGCAAAAAAATAAATAAGCTATTAAGAAAATACAATATATTTTGACAAATGAATACTTTGATTAACTTTAAACTATATCTAACAGATAAACTGACATGCTAGTATATCAGAGAAGTTCTGATAACTACGGTGGTGTTTATCTTCTCAAAATAAGTTTTACAAGTGCATTGACTACAGCCTAAGCACACCAATGCGTTACACGATAATCCTAACACGTGATTAATATAGTAAACTAAACACTAAGTTTCCTGCCCTTAATGGCATATTATTTATTGGACAAAGTTTGAAAATATATATTATATTATATCCAATTTTTGTCTACAATAGTAGACCCCTCCACACATAACTAGATTTTCAGACTTATAATTTTAGGTTACAAGTTTGTTATTTGTTGAATAACAGTTGACTCGAATAATGTTAAATAGTAGAAACTTGTTAAACAAGTATCAAAATCCAAAAATATGACAAAGAGATAAGGATAGTTTTGCTAAAACGTACAGGTTAACAAAACATTAAAAATTTTAATGTTCTTTGAAAAATGTATAAGGTCAACTGACCTATATTTGCCACTCATAATAAAAATGTTTACACTAAATTGGTACAGATAAAAAATGTTTGGATGAAAGCAATTGTTGCCTTTTAATAAATTAGTGTTCTGGTTCTCATTAAAATAAATTTTAAATGTAGGAAACATTGACATAATGTTCAAAGCTAACAACTTTGTTAATAGTAAGAGTATTTTATTTTGTTGATTAGCAACAAATATGTTCTATTTGTCATTCACATTTTGCAGCAAAGGCCCAAACAGATCACATTATAAAAGAGGTAGCTAAATCCCACACCATTTTGTTTGGACCTACTATAAATTATATGTTTTCAATTAAGATATTTGACAAAAGAATTGAAGGGGATTTGATTATTGAAAAAATTACCATTTCAATCAAAACAAACAAAATAAAGCTTAGTTAAAAAATATAGCTAGTTCTCTGCAGACTGCAGTCATTTGATTTACTAGTTCAAAGCTAAATTAATTATTATATAGTCTTACAAGTTACTTACTACTACAAACTGGTTAGGCATATTTTGGCTGTATTGTTCTTGAGATTATGTTTATTTCTTTTAAAAATTAGTGCCTCATTAGTCGTTAAAGTGACTGAAGTATATTTTAGTACCTACATAATAAATTTAAAATTTTTAAATGTTATAGAGACCTTTTCTAATTAAACTATTGGAAGCCAAACTGTTGGATTACAAAGTCATTCCGGATGGTATTGTTGAACAAAATCTGGTGGTTAAAGTACTAACAATACATTCTTGTAAAGCCAATGAGAAATATGAATGGGCTGATGGGCATATTTTTATGAGCTAAAATCTTAGATTAGCATATAACAAATGAAAAAAAAAAATTACAAGTCAGGAAGGGGTAAGTTTTTAGATAGTTTACCCAAAAATATTACAAACTACTATTGTTGCTATCCAATAGTAATTCAATTCAAAACATCTTTATTCATTAGTAAATATACAGCATAAGTTATTTACTTCCATAACTCTTTACTGTCGCCTATTATTGTAACTAAAAATTTTATATTTATGAAATACATATAAATATGTATTACATGATTTAATTTACACCTATGGGGTACTGAATCTGTTCATATTATATTTGAAGGAAAAATGATTACTTCAGGCCAATCAAAAGATGAAATTGAACATTTGCCTAATTTTTACATTTTATATTTTAGTAAAAATTGCCACTATTTATTTATGTACTATCCTTATAAACATATAAAAGACTACAAACAAATTTCACCTATATTTTATCGAAGAAAATATCTATGGTCTGTATTTTATCAACATCCTACCGGACTGCAGTTATAGTCATAGTCAATGCTCTACAAAAAAATCAGTACTTCATATTCATTATAATTAACAGTAAGTAAAGCAAGTTTTAACAGGTTTACTATCACCATCAAACCATAAATTTGTAAACAGAGGAATTTCTTGCTATGGGAAAAAATAGTAGTAATATCTGTCACTTTTAAAACATATATTATATTTCTTCACTTCTAACCAAGCGAGTTTCTTCAAATAAGAAATCTGTGTCCCCATTACTATACTAGGTGCCTTGTAAGGTTAGAATCAAAAGCATTTATAAATATTACTTCACTATATTTTACTGTTAGAAGCATAATACGTAATCATATCACTACTTTAAACAGCTTATTAATAATGATATATTTATTTACAAGTCGTCCTCAAACACTTATTAAATAACATACAAACCATGAACAAACAATAATTGTGGCCATCACTAATATAACTCTGTCAGAGGGCTGAGCATTTTATGGCCCACAGTCGTTAATTAGCCATACTACTTTTAGGTCGTAGAGTACAGAGAAAATATCTGAATCTTACTAAACTGACAAATAGTTAAACTACCTAAGAAAATTATTTAACCGTACACAATTCCAAAACATTAGCAATGTCCACAATAATAACAAAACCTAGTTTAATCCTCAAAACAGGCTTATACTTAACGTCATCACCTGGCACGTAACAGTTATATATTATTGTTTACCATATAAGTATTAGTTTCAAATGTAAAAAAACAAGTATACTTGGAGGAACATGTTTAGCACCAAACACATCAAAGCGAGTTAGTTTTAGGCACAGGTTCATATATACAAAACAACAACTGGATCGATAATATACTTTGGCTTTGGTGCGTCAGGTGCATGTGATGATGTTCCTTCCTATGTGAGACACGCAGGACAAAAACGCTACACAATGTTACAAACTTCAAACCAAAAATACACACAAAAATAAACACTACTATTTAAATATACACTTGTAAAAGGGCAACATGTATCCACATAAAATGTTTTAACAAAATAAATAATGCGTTAAAATGGACTAAAATTCAATAAAAGGTCCAACAGTAGGTGCTCTATTGTCTGTAACCAGTAAAGTCCTGCGATCGGCTGCATAGGCTAAGTTTGAATACTTAGTGTCGACTGATGAAAGGTAGTGGAATTGAGTAAACTGTATAACTGACGTGTTAAAACAATTTGTGTCATACAATTAATTCTTATTTGGACTTAGTTGAGTTGTTTTCTCTGTACATGGTTGTTTTAAGCCAGTTAAAAAGAGTTCCAACTGTACTTGAGTAATACGCTTACAATAAAAGAATAAGATAAATAACAATTACCTGCTACGGATACAATTACAGGGTGAATTACTTATACACAGTCAACTACGTATTTGATATACACAAACCTTAACTGCAAATTGTACTTCCTAACATATTGTTGACAACCTTTTCAAGGAGTATAACAAAAGATAATAGAAAGCAGTTGATATATCATTGGTGTTGTATGTTTAGGGTGTTTCATGTTCTTTGCCCTTTCTCTGCTGAACCTAGTGATGGAAGTGTCATTATTGGAATCAATAGTAATTTGGGTGCCAGATATTGGGTGCAGCTCTTCATTTACTATTTATAGTGAAGTATTGATTGTATTTATCATTGTTATTTATATTTGGGGATCATTTAAAAGTATTTTTTGGATAACTGTTACAGTAAAGCATCAACTATCCGGACTTATTGTTGCAAGGCATCATTCAGATAATCAATTTAATTTTGATTCAATTATAGCCCTAATTTATACATATAATTGAAGAAACTGGTCATGTATCAATTAGTAGTGGGCTATAACATGTAAATTAAACCCTTTAATAAAAAAAAATTACATATACAGTGAATAAAATACGTTCCAAAGATATAACAACAAATAAAACGTTTAACATATTTTTTACAAATACACTTAAAAGAAGACTGAAAGTTAATTAACACATTCGCTGCGGCACGTCAAATGGCAGGCGTATCCCCAGTGTGACGCAGCCCGCAGCGTCGAACAAACCCGATTGCCGCGTGTGATTTGCTTTCCAATTTCGGTGTGACGAATAGCAAATAACGTGTGGGGATGTCCTGCTTTACGAGAGTCGACGTAGTTCGCTAAACACCCACAGATAGCAGCACTGCTTGGAACATAGCGGGTCCCATTGGAATTGTATAGCCAAATGAAGGGAAAAAGACAGGACAAAAAGTTGATTTTTAAGCTTGCCAGACGGGGATTTTACAGGGAAATTTAATACCAACCTACACCACAACAAAATGCAAGTCACACACTACAAGCTAACGTGGTATAGGTCCGCTTTCAGTATCGACCGACGCTAGAGCAAAAACGAAGATATACATAAGGCATTGCCGAGCGTTCCCGATCGGGTACGGACGCACCGTACCGTACGGGGGCCGAGCACCGCACCCGATCAGGAACGGCCGCACTCAACGTGTTAAGTTTACTTTATTAAAGGTTAAGGTTGCTAACAAAAGAAATGAAATCAAGATGGTGAAGTCTTGTATGGACAGGAGAGTTAACATGCACTCAACAATCAACATTGAGTTAAAACCTGAACTACAAAATGAATAATGTCTAGCATGAAAAACAAAACATACGTTTATACGTTTTAAAGCCATTTTACTGAAGAGATGGTTAGGTAATTGATGCTTTACTGTATTCATTTGTTTGTCCTCGACTAGAGGAGATTAATCATAAAAAAGACCAAAATTGTATTTGTGGGGTTGTTTTTGAGTATATCATTTTGTAATTGCAGTAAGGTTTTCCATTTCATCTTCTGCATCGTAATGTATCATTCTGTCAATTTGAAACCAAGTTTGCTTTAGTGATTGCAGCAGTTTCTTTGGACTTCTTTACTCATTAATAAGATATCTACCATCCAGGAGTTTTTCTACTTCAAGAGGAGTATGAGTAGAGTAACTAGTCATTGTTTATTTAATCTTGCAGAATAGTCACCAAATTTTCAACTTAATTATTGCATTTTAATGTGTTTGTTAACATGCAAGGTTGTAACATCATTGCCCTGTACCGTGCCACCTTTCCTTCCATCTTGTGGTTTTGTTTACTCCTCGAGGAGCGACTTCCATCTTGCTTTATATATGAATTGATCATATGGCAGTTGAGCAGAACCATTTCCTATCGCAGCACTTAATTTACTATTAGTTGTAGATCAGATGATATATCATCTTTGTCATTTGTTTAAGGCTCTGTTTGTTCTTTTTCATGTTTTTCTGTTGGTATTGGAATCATAAGTAATTTAATTAAGTTTAATTCCTTATTTACCAAAACAATAAAAGACATGAGTTTTTTTTTAGTCAGTGTTGTTAATTCAGTTTACAAGAAAAAAACTTATAACCAACAAAAGTGTTGTGGAAATACAAAGATGAATATTTTTAGTCTTATAACAGTAAACAATAAATTGTGTATATAGTAAAAGTAATTTTTTGGTCTTAACAAACATTAAAAGGTAATATTGTAAATATAGCTAAAAGTATATGGCTGAATAAGAAATAGGTAGGTCTGCTGCATACTTCTGTTAATATGGAAGAAAGTCTAATATTAAAATATACCTTCGTTCTTTCAACCCTAAACAGTCTATACTTACAATAACACAAAAAGCCTTATAAAATAGTTAAAACTAGAAAATCTAAAATAATACTAAAATTGTAAAAAGCATTTGAAAACACAACTTATAAATCTAAAATTGAACATTCCCAATATATTTCCTTTCTGTTCCCTTCATAAAACGTAAGCACGGTTCAATTACCCTGAACAAAATCATGCTCGAGTTAAGCTATTCTAAATGTTAAAAGGTCGTCTCATTTGTCTTGTACAAATCAATGAAAAATTAGCGGTTTAATCCATTTTGATTTAAAAATCTGAAACCCGTCATTGCAAATTGAATATTACCAATATATTTTCTATTTCCTTCATAAAATTTATGTATGCATGATTCAACTACCCTGAAGAAAATCATGGTCAATTTAAGCTATTCTAAATGTTAAAATATCCACTCAGTCGTCTCATACAAATTAATGTAAAATTAGCTATTTAAGCTATTTTGGCTTTAAAATCAAACTATCCCCCCCCCCCTGTTGACTAATATAGATCAAGTTTGCAGTCTATTTTTAAATACAGTCCTCAATTCAGTCGGGTGCCTAAACTTATATGAGATCCTACATTTTAAAAGACAAACATTGACTGAGACTTATGTAGCGAGCCAGGGATGGTATCTTAGAGATTCTTTGCTGCGATCTCCATAGTCGTAAGTGATCTCTTCTCCAGGCTGGATATCCTCCTTGGCTATCAACACCAAGTGAGGAACATTTTCAATGACCACAGTCTTGGTGGTCAGATTGCCGTTACGAGAGTGGTTGACCAGCCTTCCGAGTCTGTCAGATTCCGCTGTCGCATCCACACTGTCAATAGATCAAAAACATCAATATATATATATATATATATATAAATGTGTGTGTGAGTATGACCTTAAAACAATTGAAAGTTGTTCCTGTTGTGTGCTTCAATATTTGGATTGCCACTCACTTGTTACAGTGGGGCACCGTTAGGTCTAAACAACAGTAGAGCAGTCTAAAAGTCCTACTCTCGAGTCCCTGAACAAATTGACAATACTGATGAAATGGGCATGAACACAAACACCTTAATTCAACAAATGGACCAGAATGTCAATAAAACCAAGCGAAACACATTATCAAGCAACTTTTAATGTACATTTTATGCCATCCGCAAAAAGACATCAACAATGTTAAAGCTCAATTTGACATCAAAGATTCTGTTATTGATGCCGTATATACGTGTGGGACTAGGTACAACACACAACATTTGGTGTCATGGAAATATATTCAAATACTTATTATTGCAATAAGAAAAAAGTTTTAGCAAATTTCGAAAAGGGAAGTAGCTATTAGGCCCATTCTATACGCTCTACAGAAACCATTGCTCTAAATTGGGGTGTCTCACACGAGTGGGATTCACGACGCGGATGGATGCGGCCGTAGGTGTGGGCCCGGAGTTGACGTTGATGTTGGCGTCTAACCTGCGACGGGAATCCCGCCCAGCCATCATACACGTAGGTATCAACGCTCGTGGCAGCTCACTTCACATAATAGTGTCCAGTTGTGATAAATTGTGTTTAACAAGGTTCGGTGTATTTTTTGATCACATGTATTTTACAATAAATATTGATCGGCTAGTAAGTTAGTAATGTGTTTAACATTTAGCGGATTTTATTTACTTACGCTGCTACAGGGGTATATTATAGCTATGCTATTTACAAACGTTTTTGTGGCAGTAAAGTTTGATTTGATTTGATCCCGTAAATATCCCAAAACAAAAGACAACGGAAAACCAGTTCTGGACTTATTCCCAAAGATTTGCAGGATCCAAAACAAAAGTTAAAGAAGAATCAGGCAATGGCATGTCACACGACAATCTTATAGTTAAGTATTAAGTTGTGTTGTGATTGTGACAGTCAGTGTTGTTGCGTGTGATGGCCGGCTGTGCATTAGTCTTCAATGCTCCTAAATGTGTGTTCTTGTGTGCTACATCTTGTTTTTTTTTTTTTTTTTTTTTTATGGAAGAGGACAACTTATGCAAATAATTTTAAATAAGCAGACAAGGTTTGAAAAGGAAACTATGTAGTCGTCTGAAGCTGAAATAGGATTGACGACGTGAAGGTATGAAAAGATTACAATTTGCAGTAACTGTACATCATTTGACTCACCAATACTGAACATTGTGGTGTTTGAAGTAGTACATATAACATCCAGTGTTCTGATCTTGGGAATAAACTTGCTCGCGTTCTCGGGCTTCTTCGCTGGAGATTAGTTCCCCGACGTACTCCACCACAAACTGACCTCTGTAGAAGGGGCGAACTGCGACTACACCCCGGCCTTTGCCCTCGAACATGTGGACCTGAGATACAAGAATTATTGTTTACTTTTTTATCTAGGACACTAAACTCTAGTCCGCCGATAATGTTAGATCATTCTACAATAAACAACCTAACCTCACTAAAGAATGTATTTGATTGGCAAAACTACAGCAGACCATCCTGTGTATGGAATCAATTTGAGACCAAATTATCAAACAGAAATAGAGTACCGTAGTAACTTGAGCTAACTTTAAGTTTATACTTCCACTTTATAAACTTAAACTGTTTTTCTTTCAAATTAATATGCTATGGAAGGCTGTAACTCAATAATTTTGCAATCAGAGGAGGTTCTGTTTTTTAATGTTAAATATTAGGCCTATGTTATTTATTATATTTTACAGTCTAACCTTGATATAACGAACCTTGATATAACGAATTCCTTGATATAACGAATTTTTTTTTAATCCCCTAGAACTCTCCATAAGACACAATGTATGTTTTACCTCTACATAACGAACAAACCATAAGAACGACCTTGATTTAACAAATTTTTCGTGATTTCGGCTAAAATAAGACACCTCAATATAACGAATTTATCATTGTCAGAACCTTTACATTACGAATTTAACCTCCGCATAACGAATTGTCTACGTCTTTCCCTCGATATAACAAATCCCCCACCCAATTATTGTTTTAGGAAAATCTGTTTCTTTATCAAATGAAATGGAAAGGTCACGTCATCGCTTGCGCTAACATTCGTATGCTCCGTTTTACATCCTTGTCTGCTGTCGCTGCGCGCGCTATGTTGCAACCGAGAACTGATTTCATTCACTGAGGACTGATGACGACGTAATGTTTAGTAAGCTGTGATTGGGCGATATGGGACAGCTATGGTGAATTGTACAATTTTTGGATAAAGAGAAAACTAAGAAAGTATATAAAAACAAAACCAAAGAGAAAGAATAGCAACATCGTTATTTTAACATTCCTTTTACGAGTGTTTTTATTATCCTTAAGTTGGCTATTATTATACACTTTTTTAATGACTTATCTAATAATTTATTGTTTTCAATACGATTTGTTTCAACTAGCAACACCTATAGTTGATGATTATTATTGACATTCCTCTGTTGTGATAAATCAGTACTGTAAAAGTAGCCTACCGGCCTATCACGAGCAGTAGCTTACAAAACTTTCTACTGTTTTGTTTTGTTCTTTAGAAACGTAAACATAAAAGTCAGTAAAATATACCCCAAACATAAAAAAGGACCAACTGAAAATGCTCAAAACTACAGGCCCATCTCTCTCATCTCCAGTTTCTCTAAAATCATAGAAAAAATTGCTCTGGCTAGATTAATGGCACATCTTAATCATAACAAACTCTTAACTGACAGCCAACATGGCTTTCAGAAGAATAAATCTACATCCTCAGCTATAACAGCACTAATTGAGTACGTCCTAGACCAGATAGAAAACGAACAATACATTTCCGCCATCTTCCTTGATTACAGTAAGGCTTTTGACTGCATGGGCCACGACCTGATATGCAAGAAACTCGAAAGACTCGGTATAAGAAACTCTGCGCTAGAATGGTTCAAAAGCTACCTAACGGGACGTTCACAAGACGTGGAACTGAAAAACTCATCAAATGAAGTCACAGAAAGTTTCAAATCTTCAAATAGCAAGCTGACGAGAGGAGTTCCACAAGGCTCTGTATTAGGCCCGATTCTATTCATCTTATTGACTAATGACTTCCCCAAACAAATTGAAAGTGAAAATGCTGTTGCAATCATGTATGCAGATGACACAACCATTTTGATCAAGGATAACACAGCCCAAAACCTTTACCTTAATTCAAAATCGATCCTAAATAAAGCTATCCTCTACTCAAAGAACAATGACTTAGCAATAAACCCCACAAAAACTACAACTCTGAATTTCAGTAAGAAAAAAGACATAGTCCCTCAATTAGAGGATGTAACAACAGAAAACCACACAAAATTTCTCGGTGTTATCTTTGATAACAAACTAACATGGAAAGAGCACATCAACCAATTAAGCAAAAAAATCAGTACTGGAATATATGTCGTCAGAAGAATAAACTACATAGGCGGACTCTCCGTGGCCAAAACAGCTTACTTCGCACTGGTAGAGTCGCATCTTAGATATGGCTTGACAGTGTGGGGAGGAACTTCAACAAAAAATATGAATCGAATTCTTGTCCTTCAAAAGAAAGCCATAAGAGCCCTCGCCAACCTTGTCCCACCACAGACTTGCAGACTAGCATTCGCAAACCTAAGAATCCTCACAGTGGTGTCTCTCTACATACTTGAATCTGTGAAGTATGTGAATGAAATAAACCCCCCAAGAAACCGAGACCTGCACCACTACAACACCCGTCATGGCTCTAAATTTGCACTACCAGTTCACCAAACAACTCTTTGGGAGAAAAAACCTTCCTACACCGGCTGCAAGCTGAGGAACCATCTACCTGACTACCTGAGAGACCTGACTGGCAACAAGCTACACCAGGAGTTGAAGAAGTGGCTAATTGCAAGACCCTTCTACTCAATAAAGGAATTTTATGAAAATTAACATGTACAATTCACTATTGTATTGACACTATTGTAATTCTTGACGATTTAACAATAAAGAATATTGTATTGTATTTACATGGTTTATGACTACGCAATACAGTGTTTGGCTAGGTTTTAGGAGGGTTAGATTAAGCTGTGATTTTAAACTTCCAGTTTTTAACCTGTACCAAGGTCATGATTGTCATGATTGCGTAATACAGTATTCAAGATCCCTCCCCTTTATTATGCCGGATAATTTAGGTTCTACTGTACAATGTAAACACTGCACTGTAAAGTGTTGTAGCCTATGCTAATTTAATTGTATTTTAATGAAGTCAAATCCCGACCTATATTGACCGACGCTGGTTCTGAACCTCAACTTAGCGAAATTCCTGCAAACCTAACCTCTATATAACGAACCTCGTTTTAACGAAATCCTTGATATAACGAATATTCAGTTCGGTCCCTTCAGATTCGTTATACTGAGGTTGGACTGTACTCCTTATACATTCTAAAAATCTCAAAAAGCTAGTAGCTTAACTTCACTCAACTTACTTCAAGACCTTCTTCTTGTTTGGCTAAAACTGCTTCTTCCAGGCACCTTTGCTTCTCTTCCAATACAGTCTTTTTAGTTTTGCGCACACTGCGGCGGACAGGGAAATATTCTGTCAGTTTATGGTTATTGTTAACTGATCTGTTACTCAAAGGGCCCACAATCGTCTTCATCGGCTGTGAAGGACATCTGAAACAAAACCCATTATCAGCTCACAATTACAATGATAGCTCTGTGATATACCGTTTTTATTAAAATCAACTTACTAATGAGTTAAATTACAATAGTTATTTATTTTTGTATAGTGTGCAAAATGGCTCTTTGAAGCACTTGAGAGAAATAGGCATGTTGGGGAAGTTTCTCGAATGCAGTAACAACACTTTACGTCCGGGTTACACATAATATTTTTCCTACAAATAATATAGCCTAAAGCATATAAATAATAGGTGAACTATTACTATGCATTTTCAGAAATTAACAAATCCAAACCTAAATAAAATTGTTTCACAAAAAAATCAAAACCTAAATGAAATTGCTTGCGAATGTAACAAATAACAGCCTTGGAATGAAATTTCACAAACATAATGAATCAAAATCTGAATGTCATTTTTTGTTTGAAATGTTATACAACAGGTTATAGGTTAAGTTAAGTCCAATTTGTTGAACGACAAATAAAAATCGCCCCAGCTGATTGATTTAGTAGCGTTGCCACCCTGTTTTCAAGTGAACACTTATTACGTGCCTAATGTTTGCACACTATTTTGTGTTTATTTAGTTGAAATACCAGAGTGCGGGAAAGTAAGTACCGGTAAATACAGGAATCAGCTGCTTCGCGTGTTATATTCAGTGCAAGACCCACTTTGTCAAGTAACTGTAGGAAAAACATTTTTGGTTAGCAACTTTACAATAATCTACCTGCCATAATCAAAGATGTGAAAAACACCTCTAAATTTAAAAAAATTTAAAAAGTCTTATCCTTTATCTTAATTGTGTTACTCAGTAGTTTATTGCATATGCAGATCCTTAAATAATATGCAAAAAGAGGACAATTCTTGAGCGTCAGGAATTAACCAAATTACCAAGAACCAAGAATCAATCATGGTCATTCGCCTATAGGATCTGATGATGATTGGAGTGTCCAATCAAAATTGATCACCAATTACCATCTTTTATGTGTATTTACCTTCTTGTGAGTCAACAGTATACGTGTAAATATATTATTACAAGTTATTAGACATATATTACAAGAGTTATTAGACATATTTTTTGTTTTTCATGAACTAATCATAAAGACGCACTACTATATTATGTGTTTCAACTATTTCTGTGAACCTGATGGAAATTTGTGAATTACAATGACTTTAAATTAAAATCAGTAATTTATCAGTGACATCCTGATAGGCCTAGTGCTTACTCTGTAGGAAGTTTAACTGTCACCTTGAAGCTTAATAGGGAGGTCTACTTTGTCATTGCTGTTTTATACAGGTAATAAGGTGTATAAGGTGACCTAAATATTTTTCATTAAAGGATCCTACTACTCTTAAAATTACTATCTAAAAAAAACATCACAAAATATCTGCAACTAAAGTAAATACACTAATGGTAACTTACTTCTTTTTCGTCTTATTATTTTTCTTTTGGCACTGTAGAGGGAATCTATGAAGAGCACTTGATGAAGACAATGCTGGTGATGTCAGGGAGGGGGGAGGTGGAGGGGGAAGCATTTCGATTTTGTGAGGACTCGGAGTACTCTGTCCAAGTTTATTCATGTTCGGAATCGGACTTGCCAGAAGACCGTCTCCCACTTCGTTTCGACGAGTGACATTGCCTGCATTGGGGTAAAATACAACTACAATAGATAGGTTAAAAAAGGTTCATTTTTTTAGCTATCAAGAGCTTAACTAAATGGAGAAACTTTTCTCTTGCATTAGAAAAGGATAAATGATTGGTAAAATCTTAAATTGTTGCACTGCCTCTGGTATTACAGCGACTAGGGCTGTAGAGACTACATTTAATCTCAGAAAATGTAGCCAATAGAAGAAAATAAAACAAGGTGACATTTATTTTAACACTTGGCTCATTGTTTTAATGACTCTACATCATAAAATTAAACAGCATTTAAAAAAAGAGGATCAAGACAAATCAACACGTGGTTGTACGTCACCATTTTTGTATACAAAAGCCTGGCTCAATCATAAATCTCAGACTCGCACACCTCTATTATTATTTATTAATAAGATGAGTAATATTTAAATCATTAATTATTTCAGGTAGGCTTTTATAACTTAAATAAGAAAAAGTAGGCCAAATAATTCTTACGATTATTTTGTTGTTGCTGCAAAACACAGATGGTGCTGGCGTGGCGGCGAGGGGAGGTCCTACCAATCACAACGGGTATTTGAGGGGAAGGCTGCTCAGCCTTAGGCACCTGTGGTGGGAAGAAGCGTGTGATCGGAGCTGGAGACGTAGGATTGTGAGATAACTTCCCTTGGAACTGCCTTTTAGTCATCCTTAAATCAGTGTTCTCTTCCTCCGTTGAATCCCTATACTTAGTAGAGATAGGTTTTGTTTTTCTCTTCCCTAAACAAAATAATATAAAAAATGATAAAAAGAAATAAAAATGTGATATTATATGAGGCATTCATAAATGCAAACTTAAGGTCGCCTGACCCTTTCTAAGACAACCTGTAATACAAAAAGACGACAAAATGTTACAATCTATTTACAATATCATACTGTATACAACAATTAATAGTTACTTTATAAGCAGAAACTTAATACAAAACATAATTAAATAGGCTACATTTGAACTTTTCCCTCATCAATATTGGTCTTGGTTGGAGCAAAATATTACACAAAAATAAATACAGTAAACTTAGACCTTATTTTATTTGGAAAATAAACTTATTAACCCCATTCCATTATTAATGGAAGCTCAACTCAAACCAATAGCTTTTTACTCAAACCCAAAAAAATTAATGCTCAAAGTACAGACTTTTTGTCATGTTTATGAAAAATTTAACTTATTTGCTAAATTCTATGACAGGATTCCCAAGTCATTGAGGGGGAGGCTTGATGTGTCTTTATGCTGATGGCAGTACTACAGTTACAACTGTAGGCCAAACGGAGACCCATTACAATTGTAGACAATTAGACCTAATTTGTAAGAAGAAGTGGAACTAAGATCATTTATTTATCTTCTATCATAATAGACCTAGATGGATGGCATTTAGGTATAACGGCAATACATAATAGTCTTTAGTACCGGTACCTATGTTATATAGGACTATCTAGGCTACACAAAACTGACCTTTTAAATAAATTTAGAGACTGTTTTAAGACATATGATGTAAATAGTACGGAAGCCTATGTGATCTGAGCGATTTTCTCGCAAAAAAATAGTTAAAAACTAAAAGTGATAGGGCAAAATCATTTTTAAATTATTATGCATTCACACCGTTGGTAATTTTATTATAGCCTATATCAAGCAACAGCAGTAAGCACTTCAGTAAGTTCAGTTTATACATATCTAAGTTAACTGTTACATACTAGGGAATAGATAGCTATTTGAATCTAATTTTTTTAATATACGTTTAGGCCTACTGGCTTGCTAAGCTGCTCCACTATTGTAAGCATGATGTCACAACTTATTAACCGTTCTTCCTCTTATACCCCAAGGAGCCCATTGATGGTGTCGTAATAACATAAAACATATGACTAGGTACAAATATATTACGTGTTACGATCAAATGTAATAGGTTTATTTACAATTATTAGCTCTAAACCTGGACAGGCGTTTTTCAGCTTAGGCCTTATAGTAGGAATTCCTCCTACTACAGAAGAAGGCGCTGAGGATAATAACATCTTCTGGCTACAAAGCACATGTCGTCCCATCTTCCTGGACCTGGGTGTGTTGACTGTCTATAGCCAGTTTGTCCTCTACATCTTGATCCTGCTGAAAGTAAACATCCACCATTTCGTAGTCAGAGACAACATAAGTTACATAGTCACCATGCCCACCAAGCTTGTGACATCGATTTGCCGAGATGCGGCCTAGCCTGCTCACTGAAGAGTTATCCTCGGTCTGCGATAAGGTTGTTTAATTCCTTGCCGGTTCATGTGCACCACCTGGACCTAGATGACGGCCCTACATGACAGGCTGGTTAATAGGCCTCTTTAGAGCCTCGAAGAACTAGGGAACGAGCCACTTTTTAGCCATTGCCACAGTGTAAATAGTATCGTGTAAATAGTATTTTAGTAAATATGACGCAGTCATACCAATTATCATCAGTCAACAACATAGACTTCAAGTATCCAAGTAAGTATCCAAGTAGGTCTCTGAAGTAGCTAGCCTTCAGTAGGTAATAGGCTTTGTTTTTAAATATGCTGTATCTTGAAGAGTTCCCTTTTATTGAGGTGTAGGATGGAGCTTGGCAACTTACTGCAGGTATACTGTTATGGCTCTATTACTGAAGGCCTTCTGAGTCCTTGATTGCCTAACTATAGGGACATTTGGTCAGGTACGATGCATAGTAAGATAATGATGCTTGATGCTTCTCTAGGAGGAAACTCCTCGGTAATTCTGAGCAATTACTTGGTCAACCCCAAACTTTTCATATTTTACTACGGTCATAAGGATGTTCTCAGAAAACAAGAAACATATAATTCAAGCCCCGCAAGGCCATCGTACAGGTTGCCGAGCGATAAGAAGGTTCAAAGTCCACGCGATAACAGTGGCTCGCAGGAGACGCACGGAAGGTTGAAATGCTAGGCCAGTTGTAACAGTACCGGTACCGTTATGTTAGGTCAGGTTAGGTAAGGTAAGGTAAGGTAAGGTAAGGTAAGGTTAGGTAAGGTAAGGTTAGGTTAGGTTAGGTTATAAATTAACCACATTCCACACGTTGGTTTTATGAGTTAACCTAACCTAACCTTGCGGGGCATGAATTATATGTTTCTTGTTTTCTGAGAACATCCTTATGAGTTCTCACCCTTATGAGAAGTTTGGGGTTGACCAAGTAATTGTTCAGAATTACCAACTTCTCTATATTATCTAGGCCTAACACATATATAATGCAGGCGAGGATATAGTGGCTAAGCACTGTCACAAGTATGCCCTGCCTGGTGAAGATAGGCTTGCAGTGAGCCAGATAATCACTGAGAAATGTGATTATTCATTGAGCTCTCTTTTGCATGGATGAAGATGTCTTCAGCCGTGGGTAAGTGTCCTCAGCACACAAATTGTTTGTCCAAGACATTAGGCACTAGCCTGGGATTGTTGTTCACATTACTTCGGGCTAGACCAAGGGGTTGTGGCATTATCACTTGGAGCATGTTTTACCAGACTGCATACAAGAAACTGTGTCTTCGGCTTTCAATTGTAACATGTTTTCTGTGTATAAATGTATGTTATAGAGAACAATTTGAAATATTCTATGCGACTCAAGTAGGCCTAGAACTAGGTAGGTGTTTGAGGCCTTCAGATGATTAAGACAGCACAGTGTCTAAAATAGGCCTATGAATATGCCTTCATTAAAGACAGGCCTAAGAGCAGACATTCAATCAGCCTTCCATAAACAGGGGGAAGAATTATAGCCTAGTTACAAACAAGATCAACATAACAAAACAGTTGAACTTAAGTTGGTTACAATTTGTTGCCAGTTTTAGCTGATGTCCTAACCTGAATTTTCAGTTGAACTAACCTTTGCTTAACCGTTAAATAAGAAATAGGTAATTCACTCACCTCTAACCATTCTTCAGCCTATCAAAATAAAATATGTTTTTCAGTCATTAAACACCATAATGCTCCATAAAAATGATGCCCAGCGCCAATTTAAAAACTACTGTTAAGTATGGTTTACTAGGACAGGTACTAGTTATCATCTAACAGAAATCAAAATAAAAATAAACTCCACTTTCAAATGCAGCCTAAGAAAACGAGCCGGTTTCATCAGATTGAATTGCATTAAAAAAGCATTTTAAATTTTGTCAAAAAATATGATACAGCCTTCCGATTTAACAATTTAACTTTAAAAATGTATTATAATTAATATTACTTATACACTTCTGAACAATTTCCCAAGCCTCTGATTGGTAGAAAGAAACCTACACATTGATCAAGACAAACTCTAAGGACAGAGACAGAGAGCAAGTAGTTTCTGTGGTTGACCAATAGATGGTGTTAATTCAAGCATTTTGTTAAATGTTCAAATAAGGCAGGCTTGTTTATTTAATATAAAATCTGCTCCTTTAAAGAAGTTAATCCAAATGATTATAGTTATAAACAAACAAGTTACCACGTTTAATAAGGAGTAGTTGATAAATCACAATACAATTGATTTTGATTGATAATTCATGGCAATTTCAAATACTGAATTAATAATATTATAAATATCGTGTCATTGCGTCTACCTAAGCCGGCAAGACGAGATCGTTCTTGTGAAGAAAAAGGCCGCTAAGGTGACTCAGTCAATTGAGATAAATTTTATTAATATGCCTAGTCTGTAACATTGGAGTATTAGTAACTTTTGCAAAAAAAATCAAACATAGGTGGTTTCTTCCCTCTGTCCCAAAGTCGAAGGTACTCGGTCCAGCAGTAGAAGACTGTTTATGTTGATATTTTTTGCAGTACAGTTTATACTGTACTCCTATAGGCCTACAGTAGGGAAAGTGTAAGAAGACACGTTCAACAAGGATGTAGACTTATATGACACGGATCTCCCATGTATAGCGTCAGGGAGCACCCTAGGTAACATACACCTACCGAACAGTCCTATAACCAGATATCCTGGTGGTCGATGGAGTGAAACCTTTGGTAAAAAAGAAAGGCAATTTATGCGTGCCGTGGGGAGAATTAGGCAAAGACAGAGGAGCGCATCAGCACCTACCGACCCTGGCAGGAAAGCTGGAACTTCAGTTAATCCAAACCTAGGCTAATCGGTATCACGGGGAGTTGGATTATTGCCTCACCCAGTTTTTGCCTGGACACGACTGATTTTGTTCTTAACTAATGATCAGGGCCGATTCGGGGGCTTGCATATACTTACCAGGGCACTTCACAACGATTGACAGGGAACGGGAACACGCTTTCTTTCGCTGTCCGTATAGGGAAGAACCCCACCTGGAGGCTTAACACTATTAAAGACTGCTGTCGGTGGTATATGCTATGAAAATCATGCTTTGAAATAATATAGTTCATGCTACATGCTATGAAAATCATTAAATACTACATGCAAAAGTGCATTCTACTGTACATGCTAAGTTTGTGCTGACGGTGTACACTATGAAAAATCGACAAATAATTTACAAGGCAATAATCCTAAGAGGAGGATTAACATTAATGTCAATCCTCCTAGCCACAAGCTGACCATATGTGTGCGTAAAAGCATTTTCCCGCCTCTCCCAACAAATTTTGTGTACCTACTCCAACGATAATATTTTTTTGAAAATTTGCACTTTTAGGGTTTAAAAGTTTTAAATTAATATGGGGTTCTGCAGAGCTCCAATTTCGGGTTAGACAGAATATATTCTTCTGAAAAACGCTTGCTAATAAAGACCTTTTTATTTATTTATTATTTTTTATTTTGTTATTCAAATTAGATGTTTCAAGTTTGATTCAAACTTGAAGAGTGGGAACTTCGATACATGATTTTAACCTGAATCAAGTTTAAGGACCTATCCGAGCAAGCTTATTTCAAGTTTTCAGATTTGACAAATCAAACTTGTTTCAAGTTTGAATCAAGTATTTTTTGCTATCTGGGTCGGCTAAAAAGGGGTGTATAAAATGTAACATAATGTGTTACAACTACATCTAAGACTATTGGGTGTCGTTCGTTGGAGTTTAGAAACTCATACTCCTCCAAAGGAATTACGAATTGTTTGTGGAAATTGCAGATGAGGGGTCAAGCATTTGGATCCTTAGAAGCCAATATTTCGTGACTGAACTTCATATAGGCTATGACTCTATATTATTTTTAAACATTCAGTCCCTCATAAAAATAGAGAGGTGGATGTTCTCAAACTCATGAGTGACTTCGACTCCCACAATACCAGAAGAGAAGAGAATATGTACATAGATATTCGACGCTATGGAAGATTGTCGACGTTACGGAATTAGATAATGTAGGCTTAGAAACTCCGAAATGCAAAGTGCTGCTACCTCTTGGGTGGCCTAAGGAACTACTATCAAAATGATAACAAAAGTTTTAGAAATGGTGGATTCTGGGAATAACAATATGGCGGGAGCTACTGTAGTACAATAAAAAAGTGTCGTTTACCTAGGATTGTCCTTTACTGGCAAATGGCAAAATGCCCCGTCCTAAGAAAGCCGTAAGTAATATAAATGGATTTCTTCTGCTTTTAAGGTACTGGTACTATTAACACCATCGACTCAGCAGAATGATTTCTTCGCATCAGTTGCGGTCCATTCATACTAACATTGGAGGGTTTGGTTTAGTACGGTACTGTTGGGCATCTTGAAGAGAAGTGTTAGTTGAGCTTGAGTGAGGTGCAAATTTGTCAATTTGATAATTATAGTTTATTGTGAATTGTATTATCATAAACATTACAAAATTTGTTCTATAGAATAAAGAACATGTGTGCACAAGTGGTAAGTCTATAATTAATTATATCAGATGAGAAACGTATATTAGTCAGCCTCTGTGATTTTTTTTAGGTTAGGACTGTAGTTTTTTAAGAATTAAGAGTTGTGAAATCAGAGATTTATGTCGATAAGTGATATCAGGAGATACCTTCCCCTCTTTTGTAGACTAAATAACATACATACTACATAGCCTATGCAGCAGATAAAATAACAAAGAATAAATTTATGAAAAAATATATTTTAAGTTAAACAACTGTTAATTAGGCTACTAACTATATTGAACTTATCAACCCCCTGAATTTATTACTTGCCATAGGTAGGTCTACTGAATTTTATATATCTATTGGTTTCATCTACCCAATGACTTAATTTTGTACATGACTATTGGCTAATTTGATCCTCTTTATGATATCTTAAATCTTTTCCAATCAAAAGCCTTCTTTGCCATATAAAGAGTTTAAGTTTACTTGGCCCTTCTTCTATGGATTCTATTCAGGGGAAATTCTGCGTAATGTATTTATCTGGTAGACTTCTTCTCACTGGTCCCAGGTAATCTGCGTTTTAAACTTAGTAAGTAGTTTTGCACGGTCAACTTATTTAAGTTGCACTCAACTGTGCAAACTAGGATATCTTCTTGCTCAGCATAAGTTATAACTTAAAACGTGGGCACAAATCTACAAAAAAATGTTTGACTTATAGTCCCTATGTCTAACTTATTGGTTTTGGAAGGTTCCGTAGTATTTGGAAAAGCAACTCGTGAGGGAAATTTTATAAAAACAATTTAATAGATTGGTTCACTAAAGTTGGCAACCTAAGTTAGCCTAACTTATTTTAAAAATCCCTTGAGACCTACTTTTCATCCTAATAAAAACAAGATACCGGTAGCATATTTGTTCATAATTTTACAGTAAACTGCAATATAAGTTAATTATAGCTACCCATAAAAATATTTACAACGCAAAGATGAGATCACAATCTCAGTTATTCAGAGTTTTCGCCTAGCTTCCTCTTATCACCTTATATATAAAGGCCTGTAGACCTATATGTTTTAAGCGAATGGTTGTATAGGACATAAGTTAACTTACAGGGCTTTTATAAATGAACATTAGTGTATAAAACTTAACACTTTTATGATATCTATGCCTACTACAGTTACAAATGGTAGGTTGAGTAGCATACAGTGAAATATTTACATAGGTACGGTAAATAGATTTGTTTCTTGACATTATCAAGTGGTTTATCAAGTGGACATTATCTCTGGTCTTTTTTAAGATCCGGCCTATGAGTAGTTAATTTTATTGATCACCTAATGACAGATATTTAGCATAGCTACCACAATCTACCGAACTGAAGTCATGTGATATCGACCTTTGGGGGTTTCTTAAGAATTTTGTGTACTGGCCTCTACTACTGGCTGAGCTCCCTCATTAATACGTTCGCTGCTGTTGAACTCCTATTGGAGTCATGCCGTACTGGCACAGCGTGCGTACGACTCCGGTCGGAGTCACAGTGCAGTGTTACACAAGTTGGTCTAAACTGTGACCTCTACATTTATTGTGGACCAACTAAACTATGTACGCATGTTGTGCTGGTCCTATTCTTTAATTTGGTGCAAGTTGGGTTTAGGTTGGTAATCAAATTTCCCATAGATTCTCGTTTGGCAACGCTTTTTGTCCCGTTTTCGGGGATCAAAGACACTGGTTACAGATCCAGGCAGTGTTGCTATACGTAAGTTTTTTAGTTCACTCTCTGGGTAACACAGCAATATCACCGCAGCTGTTTTGCCGCTGTCAAGACTGAAATATTATAATGCCTAAGTTATTGCGTTCGCTGATTCACTGACACGCCGAGGCTGCTTCGCATTTCCGACCGTCCCAAAGGGATTCTCGCAGCAGATGTGTAAAAAAATAAACAAGACTGAGGTAGCAGCTTTTAACCAAGAGTATTTTACCAACAATTTGAAACAATTCACTTATGTAGGGGCCTACTTGAGTTGTGCCTTTGCATTAGGCCTATGTGTAATAATAGTGCTCACCTTACCTATGATACCTTGAAGAAAGCAGCCGTTGACCAGTAGACTGAAATGGGCCTTGTCGGTAAACACTTGCAGGCTTATGGATAATTTAAACTTTTTAGTTCCTATATTTTTCATGATCTAATATTTATCAGTGCAAGTTCATTGTAAAGCCAATTTTATAATTGTAAAGCTTTAATTCTGAAATTCATTTAGTGACAACCGGTCTCGTACAGATTTTAGTTTAAGGTTTTCATACTCCATCCATCGCTTAGGCCTTATGAAAATGTGCTAAAACGTAACACTTCTACAATTTTAAAGGTAGGTCAGACCAAATTATAATTTAAAAGACTGGGACAATTTTTCATCAGTCTGATTGAGTATTGGTGTGATTTATGTTACTTTTATCCCTCTATAGGAATGTTTGGATTTTTAACAAACGGAGAAAAAATATTTTGTTGAATTCCTTCAAAGAATATGAAGACAGTAATTGGTTGAGCGAATATATGTTTGTAATTCCTATGTTTAAAATCATGGTTTATAAAGCCAACTTCATTAACATTCCAGTTTTTAAAACAATAGAGACGTTAAATGTTATCAGCTGGCTATTCTCTCAGTCATAGCTTTGAGTGAAACACCTATTGTACTGGTCTGCTAAGCGAAAACTGTAAGTTGAGTAGAAAATACTTTTGTTACAAGATATTAGACATTTTATAAACAAAAAAACTAATTTTGCTATTATATGCAAAATTAAATATTATGATTACTTGGCGGTTGCATATTAAATAAATGTGTATTTCCACATAATCTTCCAATTCAAAAACGTTCAAAAACTTGTGAATTTAGAAAACAGTTTTCCTTCTGAAACTCAATGTTCACCATCCACATAAAAACCTGGTGTTGTGATTGAAAAGTCCAATTAAGTGGCTTACTGATTTAGGCCTACACTTCTGAGGGTAAATTACAATTCTACGGATATTTCATTAGAGTAAAACCAAAATCACATGTTTTCATAACTTGTTTAACATTTTTAATCCTACCCAAACTTTAAATTAATCATTTGCCCCCTACACCCTTACCAGGGAAATTGCTTTGCTCCTCAATACTTGTTGATTTTTTTCTATAATTTTTTACTGTTACCAGCTGTCATAACAATGAATAACTCTAATAACCTTTATAAAACACGTTGAAACAGTTTTTGTTATTATATAGAATCATCATGATTTTACTGTAGAAACTTGTATTATCTTCTCAAGAAAGACAGTCTAGATAAGAGATTTGATAGTGCATTTATTGCTTTTTGTATGATAGTAGTTTTGTTAACCCTAGCAGTGGCCAATGTTAGAAGTGGGGAATGGCCAACCCATTTTGGCGATTTTGCAGACCATTTTTTGAAAATTCGTAAAAATTCAACCGTACAAGTAAACCTAGCCAACCTCATATTCATTTTGTTCGGAAAGAACAGGAGAATCTAGAAATAGTAATATCATAATGATTTAGACAATGTATTTTATCGGTAAAGTGAAAAAAATAAAAAAAATTGAATTTTTTTTTTTGAAATTTCAAAAGCGGCCTCTGCATTTTTTTTCTACGGATTTTTTTATGGGAAATTCATTATATACATTTTGTAGACAATCTAATTCCCTACATAGAAATATATAACATGTTAGGAAAATATTTTTTTTTATAAGTTTTTGGGGCGAATTATAATGACAAACGGAGAACCGAAAAAATTGAAAACCGTACAGTGTTAGTTTATGTTGTAAAAAGTTCTATAATATATGTGTATACTAATAATGATATATACATGTTTGTAAAGCTAATGAAGTAAGGAACCAAAAAAAGTCATAAAGTTTATGGTAAAAATAATTTTTTACCTATAAACATACGTATATAAAATAATGTTTTTATATTTTAGCGATTTCTCGAGAAAAAAATTCACAGTACTTAGTAGCCTATACAACTTTTGTACCAAATTTGTTTACTTCAAACCAACATAATAATCTTGTAGTGTATTCAATTACCTACATAAAAATGTATAACATGTTAGAAATATTTTTTTTTGTAGGTACGTAATAGGGACATAATAATACAATAACCGCAAAACCGCAAACAAGTGTAAACTATAGCCTATAGTGTTTGCTTGTGTTGTGAAACATTATGTAGGCTGATGATATGTAGCCTACATATTTGTAAAGCTAATGAAGTAAGGAATCCAAAAAAGTCATAAGTATGATGGTAAAAAGTTATTTTCACCTATGATTATGTATCAATTTGAGAACGTTTTGAATTTTTTGCGCATTTCCAGAAAATGGAGTGTACAGTATTTAGTAGCCTATATAATTTTTTTACCAAATTTTTTACACCCAAACCAATATAAACATGTTGTAGTGTATTCATTTACCTTTATAAAAATGTATAACACCTTGGGTAAATCATTATACTGTATAGCATATATAGCACCTCTGAATGTCAGAATTGTCATTTTTGAACATGATGCTAACAAAATACAGTAGTAGGCCTATTTAGTATAGGCTATAACTTTTTTACAAAATTTTTTACCCCCAAACAATTATAAACATGTTGTAGTGTATTCATTTACCTTTATAAAAATGTATAACACCCTGGGTATATCATTATATAGGTACAACAATCTCTGAATGTCAGAATCGTCATTTTAGGACATGATGCTAACAAAATACAACCTTTTATGAACACTATTTCACACAATTCAGTAATATTTATGCATGAAGATTACTGTTATACACACACACAACACTTCACTAACACTAACACTAAGAAACTAATAACATATTTAGTAATAAATCGCGGATAAAACTATTACGGCAACAACACAAACAAACAATGGCCATACAAGACAGCTGACAGACTGTAGCAGTAATGACTCACTTGTCGTCTACATGCGAGCATACAGAAATAACCCTGAGTGCAGGGCTGCCACTCTCTGAATCTAAATTTCTTCCTCTTCAAA